GAACGACGAAGAGATGCTATAAAGAGCAAAGTTGAGCAGGAGTTTGTTTCATCATCCTCACAGTCCTCAGACRACGACGACTCAGACTTAGAGCTACCACAGTCATCCAAAAAAGAGAATTCGAAGAAGAATAGAAAGAATGACGCTRAGAAAGCACATAAAGCACACAAGAAGATGTGCACAAAGGCGATAGAAACCATGAATAGGGTCAACTCCTTTCTTGAGAAAGCCGAGCAAAGGCTTTCTCATAAGTGAGAAAATGAAGACTGTATTGCATCATTACATGAATTTATTTTACTGTCAATAAAATTTGCATAAAATAAACTATTTGCATTTTTTGTCTCGCTATGTGAAATCGTTCTACTAGTTACTGTAATTTGTTGGACAATCCTTACGGGAAAAAACTGTTAAAATTTATCTCTATTTCCACGAAATGAAGGGAATGAAAAGATACAACAGAGTTTATGAAATTTATTCTCACTTTCCCCATGTTTCCCGCCATGTAGCCTGCGTGTCACATATAAACCGGTAACCAATCAACAGCGACCATCGCGATCATGTAACACACACATCAAAAAATTGGCACGTGGGGCAAAATACTATATAGATCGTAAATCGCATCGCGGTCATTTCGGCTTATAAAATTCGAAAATATCTTCCACTGGAGGAACTGAAAAAGTTGACGAACASCCAAAGTTATTCAGGGCCAGGGCAAAAAGGTAATTTTAAAATCAAGACAAACTTAGATATACCTTAGATAGCAGAAGGGATTTTGGCTCCCCGATCTTTAAAGCTGGACGTCTGGAAACTGTTATAAGCTTATTTTTCAAGGAAAATACTTGAATGTTATTAGATGTTTCGAGAACATGTCCTTCAAATAGTCAATATTCTATTCAACAAATTCTGCCGGCAACTAGAAACTTAAGTCGAGTGATTATAATTACCACACCCTGGTATGGCGCTATTCAGTTCAGCAAAGATTTCGAAATGATTCATAACCAAACAACACTAACTGTGAGCTAATGGAAAAAAGATCGAGGCCAGAAATACTACTACTAGATCTGTTGCTTTTGTGGATAAACCACTCGTGGAACCGTTCAAAGAAAATTCGCATACGTTGGAAACGCCAAACAGCCCGCGATTCATGTGAACATTCTGTCAGCTTGCAATATCGATTTTATCGGTCATCGGTTTCATCGATTAATAGAATTTTCAAATTCTATTTGTTAAAACACTTAGACTAGTTCAGTACCGAGTTCCAAAAAGTGTATTTCGAATTTAAGTTATCAATTCTTAACTGTGTTATTTTTTTAATGTGTAACTTCATTCGGTTCAAGTGTTTTCATTATTTTGAATCATCAGCAATTATTTTCAACAGTTTCAATACATACCATGTGGGCACTTTTTCTAGTAGCCCTCTATTCTTTTTTGCGTAAGTCCAATCTAGTCCCATCGGGTTCACAACAAAACAAAGTTTTATGTCACTCACATCTGCTTTTCACCGCCAAGGGGGCATCATTATCAGTACATGAAACTAAGACGATTCAGTATAAAGATCAAGTTTTGAATATCCCCATGCCAGAGATTCCAGGTTCATGTTTGTGTCCAGTTAAAGGCACTCAAGCAACATTTAAGTTTAAACCCCATCGTGTCACAACAGCCCCTTTTTTCTGTTGTTCACAGGCCGAATGGTTAAGTACCACGCCAATCTCATATTCTCAATTTTCCAGTTTTTTAAAGAAATTAGTTTCGATTTTGGGGTATGATCCTCACATTTTTTCACCACACAGTTTTTGCAGGGGTGGTGCATCTTTTGCCTTTGAGTGTGGTCTTCCAGCCGAGTTGATCCAACAACATAGAGACTGGAAGAGCGATGCAATATCTAGTATATTTACAACCGACTTCTTCTCAGAAGGAGCAGGCTGCAACCGCGATGGTTCAGAAAATTCAACAATTTTCCAAATTTCCTTAATCGTCATTCCAAATATAAATCAATCTCAACATTTCACTGCATGTATACATGTCATAATTTACATATCTCCTTTTACACACACAACTCCTTTTTGGGTTTGGACAGTAGAGTTTTATGTCAGCTTATAACTTCGGTCTTTTTACACGCCTTGATAGCACAATAAAATTCCATTTATATTCCCAATCAGTCTCTTGTGTGTGTAAATATTATATCAATTGATGTATCATTACTAGAGTGATGATAGTTAATTGTTGATTAGTTAAGCACGTGATCGTTATGCGCATAAAATAGTGACACTTTAGTCTAGTGGATCTGAGTCACACTCTCGTTGTATACAAGACAATCTCTACTTATATCGATATTAATTGTACCCAATACCCACCTGCCCTTTTTAGGCAGTGGAGCTTTATTGTCAGCTTATAACTTCGGTCTTTAAGCACGCCTTGATAGCACAATAAAATTCCATTTATATTCCCAATCAGTCTCTCACGTGTGTGTAAATATTATGTCAATTCATAAAAATGCTGGATCTGCCCCTGGTAATTATACTGAAAGCACATGCAACAGGGTCAGGGAATGTTCCAAACTGTTCCGTTTCTCTCAGCAGGTTTTGGAGAACTTTCAAGAGTGTCGCCTTTCTATTCTTGATCAGTAGTGCATTAAATGATTATATTTTTTAGTTGTAATAATTTAATGAACAGATTCTCGCCACGAGTTAAAGCTTAAATTACTTAGATTGTTAAGTGATAAATTCTTACATTCTTTTCTTATTTTTTCCAGAGATAACAACAATTATGTCCCAAGAAAATAAAGTCCGAGATGAAAAAGGATTTGCTCCAGCTCCTGGAAGTCCTGGTAAGGAAAGCAGTTCTGGTATTCCAGAACAAATAAATGAACAAGTTTCTGATGATAGCAGTATCCAAGAAGTCCCAGAAGACTTAGAAAGTTCAAACAATCAAGTTCCTGAAGAATCTGGCAGTGTTTCTTCAACAAATGGACGTATCAACTCTGAGCCACCCAGTAAATTAGCTCCAGTGTCAGAGGGAAAAAAGGAAAGTGATGTTGCAGGGTCCGGCCCASAAGGTCCAGTGTCAGAGAGAGAAAAGGAAAGTGATGTTGCAGGGTCCGGCCCASAAGGTCCAGTGTCAGAGAGAGAAAAGGAAAGTGATGTTGCAGGGTCCGGCCCASAAGGTCCAGTGTCAGAGAGAGAAAAGGAAAGTGATGTTGCAGGGTCCGGCCCASAAGGTCCAGTGTCAGAGAGAGAAAAGGAAAGTGATGTTGCAGGGTCCGGCCCASAAGGTCCAGTGTCAGAGAGAGAAAAGGAAAGTGATGTTGCAGGGTCCGGCCCASAAGGTCCAGTGTCAGAGAGAGAAAAGGAAAGTGATGTTGCAGGGTCCGGCCCAGAAGGTGCAGAAGGCCCTATAGCTGGTGGATCAAAGGACATCCATTTTAATCAAATAAACACCATCGCAGAAAGAATAACAATTATAGGCCGCCCTTCAGAAGGAACATGTGAATTCCATGAACATCCAGAATCAGATGAGCAGGTATTATTAATTCACCTAAAAATTGTTACCAGCAGTAGGCAAATAAGTTCCATACTTGAATGTCACCAATGATAATTACTATGGTCCTCAATTCATAGACTCCACATCTGAGGATGAAATACTGATGAGTCATTTAATATTATGTAATTTTAATTTTCTAGATATCATGAGATGACTCATTGAATGAGGATAAACTTAATATTTATAATGATCAGACATTAAAATAGACATGCTAATTCTTCCTCTTTGTTCCTTTTTCAGGAAAATGGTGATGATTGCACTGCAACCTCTGGGGTTGAGCTTCAATCTATTTTCCTTTTGAACATGGTAAACATATTTCTCTCATTTCAACACCTTATAATCACCTTGCTGATCCAATTCTGATTGTCACATTTTTGCTTTTTTCAGATTTGTAAGTTAGAGGAAAACCAGAAAAAACTGGTAAGCAAATTTTCTTTCATTCCAAACCCTTAAATCCATTTACTCATGAAGACATTCTGATTTTCCCCTTTTTGGTTAGGTCTCACAGTTAAATCAAAATTGTGATAGCCTTAAGCAGGTAATTGATTATTAAATTCTCTCATGTATTATAATTGTATTATATTATCATTATTATTATTATTATATTTATTAAAAATTAACAATCTTAATGCTGTGAAAATACAGGTTGTTAATTTTAATGAGATCATGTGATATATTGCAATTTTGAATTCCATTAACAGATTGTACAGGACCAACAATGGGCAATAAATGGTCAGGATCTGGAAATTAGATCTCTACGTAGATCAAACTCTCAGCTCTGGCAGTCCTTTGTTATCTTTCTTGTGATAGTGTATTTTCTTTTGATTCAAAATCATATATTTCTATAAAGAAATGAAGTCCAGGAAGGTATTAAAAAACATGGAAAGCATGAATATTACCAACCATGCAATCAGTACTTAAATAATGCAATATGCAACATTAGACAATGGAAAACAAAGGAATTTGAATAGTTTAGTACAATTTAGCACTATTTATATTAGTGTTTGCACTCTAATTCAATCCATATCATTGGTAGGTGGGCTCCTGATATTATATTCCTTGCCAATTTATTCATTGGTGAAACAATTTATTTCCATTTATTGGACTTATCCCTTGTGAATTGATAGAAGTAAATATAATTAGCATAATGGCATCATTTTAAAAACCATTGTGTCATTGTTCTGACTTTAAATCCCACATAATTACCTAGTAGATACATGTAGTATAATGATGGTAAATAGTAAAGTGCTTATATTTTCAAAGAGCAATATTATACAGTCAAATTTTTATAAAATATATATAGTATAAGTCAAGTAGAGTTTTTAGCCTAAGTTTTATAGTTATATATATAGCTGATTAAAATAAATGTGATGGTGCGGCAGCATCATTAGAACATTATTTCAGTTCCTTAAAAAATGTGCCCATGCAATTAGAATACATTATTTTTAGAATTTTTCAAAAATTCAACATTGAGTTTGGTAAAATATAATCATATTTCAATATAATTCCTTGATGTCGGTGTTTATGATGTAATGTATGATGTAATGTTATTATTGCTCACAGTTAGTCTTCTTCACATGCAACTCCAGTTTCTTATAGATAATTCTGATTGAGACAGAATCCCATTTAGTTGCTATTGGAGGAAGCTATCTGCTGTTTAGCATGAATCAAAAGCATGCATAGAGTGATTTTCTACTCTTCAGACCAATTGATAAATTTCTGTTTTGTTCTATCCAATAGCACTAGCCAAGATGTCTCATATGGCTGTTGGAAATTCACTCTAAATGTGGCAATAATATGTTGTACTTTGTGATCAAACTTTAACAAGTTTATCTAAGGAGTTAAATAAGTGACTGCTGTTGTTTATATATCCTTCACAAGTTTGTAATGTTTCTTGTGATTTGAGGAATTAAACAATGAT